TAAAATGTAATGCTGTTTACATTCAACAACTACTCCTTAAGACATCATTAATCAACGAACATTACAGTTGAAATCAAAAAGTAAAAGTACAGTTAATAAGAAACGATTACTACTTAGAAAGTAAATTAAAAGTAACTATAAAAAGAAACATTTAAAACTCACAATTAGTATTATCTCTCTCTCCTTGGTGAAATGGAGAGATTAAAGAAGATTTAAGTACATTAATCACGCAATTTATACTTTTCTTGAGTTTTAATGCACAAAATTAGTTTCAAAAGAATGAAAGATATAAATCATGACTACTTAGTCGTTGTTTGAGCACATTACATGAAGGTAATTCCCTAAAGTATCGTTATATTCCTTCTAATTACCTCTTTTGGCTCCTTCTACTGTAATAATCTTGGTATTTGCTATTTAATAATATATTTAATCACATTTATAATTTTATTAAGGTATATCAACACATCAAAATTTACATGGATTCATGGAATCCGTACGTAGATACAATTTTATCTTTTTAGAAGATTTAAATTGTTCGTATATTGTAACGGCAATTTGGACATTGGTTTCTTCCCGGCGGAATGAATGTTCTGCACGTAAAATTTATTTTGGAGTCCAAAAGAGACACAACTGTGACACATGAAAATAACACAATTATATTTTAGACTTTTTATATCATGAGATATTTGAAGACAGGATTTTTTTTCCTAATTATGTTGGAAATTTCAAAAATGTTGACGGGGAATCAGCGTTTCGGGTGACGGGGAATCAGGGTTCGATTCCGGAGAGGGAGCCTGAGAAACGGCTACCACATCCAAGGAAGGCAGCAAGCACGCAAATTACCCACTCCAGGCCCGGGGAGGTAGTGACGAAAAATAACGATACGGGACTCTTTCGAGACCCCGTGATCGGAATGATCGCAAGGTAAAGAGTGTTCGAAAGGAACGATTGGAGGACAAGTCTGGTGCCAGCAGATGCAATAACTCCAGCTCCGATAGCGTAAGCTAAATTTGTAGCGGATGAAAAACTCGTAGTCGGATCTCAGCCCGGGACGGTGGGGCGCGTCAGCGCTCCTTTCGGTCTCGTGGGCTCTGGCCGTTTTCCGAACCGCGATCTTAACCGGTAGTGGCGCGGGGTCCGGTCAGTTTACCTTGAAGAAACTGAAGTGCTCAAAGCAGGCCTGTCGCCCGTACAAGGATGCATGGAATAATGCAAGAGGACCTCGGTTCTATTGTGTTGGTTTTCGGAACCGGAGGTAATGATCGATAGGAACAGACGGGGGCATTCGTACTGAGACGCTAGAGGTGAAATTCTTGGACCGTCGCATGGACGAACTACTGCGAAAGCATTTGCCAAGAATGTTTTCATTAAACAAGAATAAAACAAATAAGGTAAGACAAAACTCAACAATTTCCTTTTTTAAAAATATTACTTTTTAATATAACTTTATTATTTTTGATTATATAAAATTAAAATACATTAAAAGCTGATATTGACAAATCCATTATTGTAATGTATAATAATATACCTGGAACTCAACTGGCACCTTTTTGATTCGAAATAACAAAACCCATTACACAACTTTTGAGAGTCATATTACTTTGCGAGGAATGTATTTTTTTTAAAATTAGTTATTAATAAGACAAATGCTTTATTCAAAGTTTTTAAAAATACTTATATGCGAATTTCGGAAAAAAATTCAAACAAATAAAGTATTTAAAATATTAATTATTTTCAAAATATTGAATACAATAATATTTCTACTTCTTTAAAAAATTTGAATATTTTTTTTAAAAAAATTTCTAGATTTTTTAGGAATTAATTATTAAAATTATATGTAGTTGCTTAGTATTATTAGTGTTATTTCGAGTTGAAATTTATTTTTCCTTACAGGTACAAAGAAAATCAGTAAAAATATAGCCATTTCTATATTTGAGGATTTAAAAAATGTCCTTGTATTTAAATCATCATTCCAAGCGGAATAATTAAACTTTCATGGAAAACAAACAGTAGATTTTTAAAACTTTATAATCAGAACAAAGAAACAATAGTTTTTGGAATATATGATCATCATTAAACTACAAAGCTAAGGGGGAGGGGGGAAATGTCTTAGCAATTTAAAATTTTGAATGAAAATTTAAATAAATCGCTAAACAATAGAACTAGAGCTTAGAAAATGTATGCATATATTCATAAAATTCATAAAATAAAATAAGTATTTAAATGTTATTCAATATTTTGGTCAATTTTAAGATAAGCAATACCTTTCTAATAAAGATTCAATTCAGATGTAATTTGCTCAACAATTCTTGCGGGTTTTATTTTACAAAAAGTTTATCAACACTACAAATGTCTGAAAGCCTTTAAATCGCACTAAAATATATCAAACATATCTTATTTGTAATAAATTAAAGAAGGCCTAGTTCAAGCTACACGCTCGCACACACGCACATACACATAAACACACACACGCATATATATATATATATATATATAACAGGTCAATTGAAAAGTCCCCAGCCTGACACACAGATAGCGCTACTAGAGTTAAATACATATGTTTTTTAGTTAGCCCTAACCCTCAAAAGATGCGTGTATAAATTTGACAACTGTCGGATCATTAGTTTGTGAATTATAGCATTTTGAGTGAAGCAACTTTCGTTATTGTGAAAAAAAATGGATAAAAAGGAATTTCATGTGTTGAAAAAATATTGCTTTTTCAAGGGAAAAAATACAGTTGAAGCAAAAACTTGGCTTGATGCCGAGTTTCCGGACACTGCCCCAGGACAATCAACCATCAAGGATTGGTCAGTGGACGCCCAAAAGAGGTTGTTATCGACGAAAACATTAAAAAAATCCATAAAATGATTTTGAATGACCGTAAATTGAAATTGAATGAAATAGCAGACACTCTAAAGATATCAACTGAACGTGTACATCATATTCGCGAATATTTGGGTATGAGAAAGCTCTGTGCAAAGTGGGTGTAGCGCGAGCTCACTTTTGACCAAAAACAATGACGAGTTGATGATTCGGAGCAGTGTTTGAAGATGATCAAGCGTAATAAACCTGAGTTTTTGCGTCGATATGTGACAATGGATGAAACATGGTTCCACCAGTTCACTCCGAAGTCCAATCGACAGTCATCCGAGTGGACTGCACATGATGAACCCGCTCCAAAGCGTGGGAAAACGCAACAGTCGGCTGGCAAGGGTATGGCGTCTGTATTTTGGGATGCGCAAGGAATAATTTTCATTGACTACCTTGAAAAAGGAAGGACCATCAACATCTACTATTACATAGCGTTATTGGACCGTTTGAAGGACGAAATCGCCGAAAAACGGCCGCATTTGAAGAAAAAGAAAGTGCTGCATCACCAAGACAATGCACACAAGTCAGTGAAAACGATGGCAAAAATTTATGAATTGGGCTTCCTCATCCACCGTATTCTCCAGATCTGGCCCCCAGCGACTATTTCCTGTTCTCAGATCTCAAAAGAATGTTCACTGGGAAGAAAGTTTCGTCGAATGAAGAGGTGATCGCTGAAACTGAGGCCTATTTTGAAGCAAAGGACAAATCGTACTACAAAAATGGTATCGAAAAGTTGAAGGGTCACTATAATCAGTGTATCATCCTTGAAGGGAATTATGTTGAATAAAAAAAAATTTGCCAAAAAAATGTGTTTTACTATGGTAGGCCGGGGACTTTTCAATTGACCTGTTATATATATATATATATCCATTCTACTATCGGGGCCGCGGCACCCTATTGTTCATGGTCGCCGACTCACATCCGGCTGTTTTGGTCGAGTCTTGGGTTCGAGCCATGATTCCACTAAAGACCAAACGTGTGGCCGGGTCTGATGCACATCAAATTTTTATAGGCTCAAGTCTTTGCGAAGGCGTGGTGTGGATGTTTGGAGATGAAGTTGCCAGCTTTGTTTTCACCCTCTCACTTGACCGAGACTTAAATTACGAGGTCGGTCGCCAATAGCCATAGTGTTGCTTCCAGTGCTACATTGATGAAACCAAGGAATGAATCCAGCGTTCTGTTTTTACCCAGTCAAATTTTTCATATATGATCTCCACTTTCTACACCATCCACACCTATAACATATTTCTACATATCTAAATCGTTAAAGCCCAAGTAAATATATCGTCAGTATCCAAAAGATTCCCTTAATTAAATAATTGAAGCGCCCGGTGTGTGTAGAAAATAGCGTATTTAATAATTCTCTCTACTTCGCAATTACGTTTAATCAATTAGCAAGCCTTTCCGG